TGGCTTTTCACATGAAGAAGACACCGCTCACATGCTTATCATAAAGACAGCCGCCAGGCATTATGTTTACAACCCTATTTTATATCAACCCAAAAAGTGCATAGAGCAGCCATTGATAAGAGTAAGAACAGCCTCAGGTAGAAGACTGTGTGGCTGGAGAACAACGCTACAGTGTCTGTGACAGTGCCAGCTGATAACAGCAGTTTGTTGTTTTTGGTGAGTCGTGAGTTTGTCATTTCATCATTTCTTTTAGAAAGGGAATCAGAATCATTAAGTCAGTCTGAGAACTAACTTTTAATCCTCTCTCGTCCAACGTTAGATCTATAAAACATAGGAGCTCGCTCCCACAGAGAATTATACACCGTACGCATTAGTCCATGTGTGTGTGTGTGTGTGTGTGTTTGTGGGGGTGTAGGGGGTGGATTGCAGATGATAGATTATGTAGACACTCAATCCCAGCAGTATACACGGAAACATTTTTTTCTTCCCCAACGTGCACGTGGATCTCCCAAAGGAAACATGCTGAGTTAACAATATACTGCCTGTGTAAGGTTAAACCTTTGTGATCACTGGTGATGTATTATTTGTTTTGTAATGCCTAACTGATAAGTTTTGTAAAAAATGCATTTTCACCGATATGTAAATAGGTAAATCAATAAGTAATTATCTTTAAATTGGTAAATTGTACTCATTTTTAAATCTTCTGTATACATCGGTGGCTTTCTTTTATTGACACTAACCCTGTGGTTCCCAACCATTTTTTGGCCTGTGACCCCATTTTGACATCCCAAATTTCTGGCGACCCCAGAGATATTTGTTTCTCTAAAATTTGTTTTTGATCATGTTTGTCATGCTGTGTTGCAAATTCAGAGTAGACAGATGAGTGCCCAGGGTGCTCAAAGGAACTCAAGTAGCTGTCACTTCTGCAGTACTTATTTGAACTTGATTTATATTCATGAAAGTGAAATAACACAGTTTTTAAAGATTGTGTGTGGTGTTTTAAATCAGAAAAAATAATAAAAACAAAACTCTAAGGTTGAAACAAACTGCACTCATGTAACCTTAGATAGGATCTTCCAGAATAGAAGATTTACCATTCCAAAAATGTTTGTAAACTTTTGTATGACTAAATGCACTTGCTAAGAACTTTATTTAACTCTTGTCTTTTGCCTGTGCAGTAGTTTTGTCCTGGGTTTAATTTATATCAGACTAATATCAATTTACCATAATGAAATATCTCAGCTCTGGGAGTGTTCCCCAGCAGGTAGATTGACTTTTCGGGGGTTGACAGGGAGACAGTGGCACTCCAAGTGTGTTCCAGTTGTCCAGTCTGTCATTTTCATTTTGTTCTCTTCACAACGATGTGTTGTTTGAAAAGGAAGCAGCTTGTGTCGAGTGTGTGAATCACCTGCTGTGAAGAACATATGGTTTAAGTAGAACTCTTGATTTCTCTTTTGTTGGCACAGTCTAATTTCAGATCACTGTTTGACAATTGTTTGTGCGTAGTTGGCCGTTTGCTTTTAAAGATAAAATACCTGTGAGACTAATGAAAGAAGAGAACAAAATATTGTAAAAACTTGATCAGGTAATGCCAGTGCAGGCTCGAAGAGTAAAAGAGTGTCTTTAGATGTCAGCATCTCACTGGGAGCTGAAAGAACAACTAATGGCTGTGTTAAAAACCTTAGCCAAAGCTACGAGTGCAACGTATGGAGAGTTACGTGGTCATTACTGGATGTGTGTGTCTGTGTACTTTTTTCTCTGTGATTATGTCATTAAATTACTCATTGACTCAACTTGGACTTTGTCAGATTAAAGTTGTCGTTGCCCTAATGTACACATCACTTGTCTGTTAGTTTTGTATTACAGTTGTAACTGAGTCATTTTAAACACTAACGTGTTGTTTTCATATGGTGAAAAACCCATTTTGTCACTTTACCTGTTAAAGTAAGCGTTCAGGGAAGTTAGCAGAGATGACCAATCAGTTCTGAGCACAGGTTGTGTGAGTCATGTAGATGCTCTTGTATCAGTGTGTTGAACTAACGGCAGTAGAAACAGTGTGCTCTGAGTCATAATAAAGTCCTGGGGCAGTCATGAAAAGTTAATCATTTGTCAGCCAGTCACACAGAGACAAAAGTTATTCAGTAGTTCAGTTGATCAGAGTGGAAGCCAGTGGCGGTGAGTGTACACAACACAGATTTGCTAACAATATTTCTTCTGTTTTGTTTTCTCTGTTATATAAATGTAATGATTTACATTTTTTTCTATGTCTCACGACAGAGTAACACGAGTATATCAATTTGATTAGAAACGATTTTATATACAGGACTGTCTCAATCTGGCCCTTTGGCCAAGCACCAGGTTTATCTGATGCTTTTTTCTGTCTCTGGAATTAAAAATAATTTATGAATCAGATAACATTGTGTTGAAAAATTCAGGATATAGTTTTGTTAAATAATTTTCTTTCAAAAGTTGAAATTATTGTTAAGGTTATTATTAGGCTCTGTTGCTCTGTAGGCATGCTTTGCATTTAAATCCAATGTTTTCTGGACATACATCATTAGCAGAAGGTAACTTTAGGTCAGTGGTTCCCAAACCTTTTGCTGCAGATAGAAAGAAAGACTTATGACACACTGAGACATTTGGCACTGAGTGACAGACAGATAAAAAATGTCAGAAAGACTGAAAACCAGACAGACAGTGAGGCAGAGAAACAAAGGCAAATGACCGAATGACAAAAACAAGAAAATTAAAGGAACAAGCGACAGAGAAGTCAGAGTCATAAACAAAGACTCCAAGGCAGAAAGACATGTAGACCCAGAGACAGACAAGTAGCTGTGTCTGTAGACAGTTGAATAATTGACCATCCAAGACACAAAAATACAGTTAGAAACAGAAAACAAACAAGACAGACTCGGAGACAAAGCTTTAGATTGGACCAACACAAAGAATGTTGGACAGATGGACAGCTGGCTGAGAATGAGAAAACAGAGGGGAAAAAGACATAAAAAGAAGTATTAGGACAGATGGACATAAATATGCAAGCAAAAAAAAAAAAAGTCTGACTGGTTGATAGATATATGGCAAAATCATCACTAGGTGGCAGTCTTTCATTTTGCTTTTGTTTGTTACTACACTGCAGCATTTGGATATTACATACACTCTGTGAGTGTGTGTGTGTGTGTGCATTTTTTAAAAAGAGGATTTCCTAAACTGTGCTGATGACAAGATTTCACCTAAAGGTTATTCTTGTCTGCAAGCCAAGTTGACTTGTGTGCGCTGGCCTAATAAAGACTACTCAGTCAGTAAATCCTGAACTTGTGATCTCTAATCCATATGTATTTTTGAGTGCTGCGTGTCAGCACATAAACCATGATGTGGTTCCCCTTTCCAGCAGATGTTTCATGCAGAAGCTTCTGCATGACTTCCTCTTTTCATTGTGAAACATGTTAGTCTTCAGTGTGTAACCAATGTCTGACATCACCTTCTGCTTTAGGTGGATAAACCTTTGGAATGGACATGCAACAGAGTGAGGATCCGTCTGGCATCGGGACGATGGAATCCAAGAATAGTGCACTTAAAGGGAAATGTATATATGTGTGTACATATATATGTGTATAAATATATATATAGAGAGAGAGTTGATATGTAGAAAAGCTTTCTACTGAGATAAAAATTATATGAACAAAACATGCAGTGAAATTTGGTTATCACTAGGAATTAAACCGGTAATCTTTCGATGTGTTATCCGTCCTTAACTGCATTTCATTTTTTGACCCATTTCAATTATTACTTCATAAGAAAACCTTAAAAGACCTTAAATATCCAGATTGACCTGTTTTCATTTTTGTTTATTCTATTCTTGTCCTGATAGTTCAAGGTCACAGCCGCCAGACACGCTGTTGTTGGTTGTACTACAGTACATAACATGTTGACCTATTTATACGAGTGATACTTCAATACAACAGTGTTTTTCCAGTTGTGACAACTGGAACATGTCCAGGTGCAGGTAAATAGTGTTGTCATCAGACGCGACAGTCCTTTTAACACTTTTGACTTTTTACAAAGTCACAAAAACCACAGCAGTGATTTGTGTGCATGGATTGCTTTGGCCTGTCATTGTGAAATGATTATTAGCACCAGGCTGTGTATGAGGCAATTGGTAAAACAGACCATGTGTTTGTCTGGACTAATAACTTGGAACAGCATTTTATATTCTTCACTCTCATTTATGAAAGCCTGATGAATAAGCAATTAATACAACAGCTAATATGGAAACATGCTAATTTATCAAAGGACTTTGAATAAAACAACACTTTTACTGGGAGATTAGATGGAGTTGAATCCAGACATGCTGATGAGCTACTTGCTACTTGTTTTGTTTGGATCTTCTCCAGGAATCATGTTGGAATAAAGGTTGTACCTGACTTGTAAATATTAAGAAATGATGCACCCTCTAACCTCCAGTACTCAGCTGCGTTTTTTGCAAAGGGCCAAGGGAAGGCAGATTCCCTCACTTTTTTCAGAATAAAACTGTCATTTAATAAAAAACAAATTTTACGTAACGTGTAGTCCTCCTGTGTTGTGTGCCTGTCGTCTCCACCTCAAGAGCGTTTTATGTTGTGTAAAACAGCGCCCCTCCAAATGCGACGTGGTGAAGTGTTCAAACATGGTACTGCACTTAACTTATCTTTATCTTTCGGCACTCGTCTGTGAGAAGGGCCAATCGAGGGAAAACGCGCTGGCCCAGATTAGTGTCGATTATATAACAAGAGTGTGTAAGTGCTGCTAAAATGAAACTGAGCTCTCTGTGTTGTATCGATGGCCAAGTGAAGGGCATGTTAGGTGAAAAACCCACTTTTCTGTCCTGTATACATTCAGAACTCCTCTATATCACAAACCCTCACCTGAATTACCCTTTAATTTGTGTGACCTTGACTTTGATTGCCAACAATGTTGCTGTTTACCAACCGGCTCTCTCAATCGACTAATCTCTGTTTTGATTCCAGCGAGTCACAGCCTGTTTGCTGAATGCAGCCTTCTTTGGTGCCCTCGGCTCATCTTTCCTCTACGGCTACAACCTCTCCGTGGTCAACGCTCCTGCTCTGGTGAGGGAAAGTACATTACAATCATGAGACAATATTAAAATAATGAGAAAATCAAATTTGAGGTTTTTTTTCTCTAATCAAATTGATTTCTATAATAAAGATGTAAATGGCCTAAAAGTAATAACAATGAATTGGCTGTTGACTGTGACCTGGTGTACATGAGAATAAATGATTTAACCTAATTGTGAAACATTTTTCTGGAGGTCTGTTCCAGACTCATTTCAATACAAGCAACTCACACATCAGCCGAGGCCTGGTCATCAAAGGTCAGACCTCATGTTGGAGTTCCAACCACGCTGAAGAGAAACATGTAACATGAAAGAAATAGTCTTGTGATCAATATCCTCGTAAAACCGCCTGTTTTCATGTGCTGAATTAGACCTCATTATTAAGAGGTCATAGAAAGTAGTCTCCAGCCTGGGACCACGGGAGATTACAGAAGCCACAGTGGGTTCCTTTTTAATTAGATTCAGTTTTCTTTTTACTCTCTCTTTTCTTTAATGATGTGAACATAACAACAAGGAGAAGATAAAACTGAAAGAGAGGAGGACTAACATCACCAAGATGTGAGTTAATCCGGCACTTATGTGACTCCCTGCATCAGCACGAATGTGCTGTGCTGCCGTGTCATTACTGGTGAGCTAGGAAAAGCTTACCAGACCTCTGCAGTGGGAAGCTCATCATGGACAATTTGTCCAACACTCATCACCAGCTGCAGGAAAATGACAGTAGAATTTATATTCAGGCTGTCTATTCAAACTCTGCCTCTGGTCACAATCACACAGAACCACTGAACCACTAGCACCAAAATATTTCACTGTTTGTTTCCTGTCTTTTGGGAAATGTAGGTGTTTTATTTATGGTGGGCCGAGTGATTGGCCAATCAACACTGACTTCCTTAACTTTGCAGGATCGGCAAAGAGGCAATTATTTAATGTGAAACTAATCTTATCTACTTCTGCAAAGGTCTGAAAGCCAGCGCTGACTGACAGGCCGCCCACCAAGGTGTGTCTGCACGTGTCTACACGACTCATCAGTGTGGAAGGGAGCGCTAAGCTTTCTGTCTGTAAAACACTGTGAAGTCTGTTAGGTCAATGGTTGAACAACTGACAGTTTTTTCTTGTTCTGACATCACGCTCTGCATATCATGTTCGCTGACGGGCCTCTTAGTTCAGTGAGTGCGAGAGAGAAAGAGAGAAAGAGAGAGAGCTTTGGAGAAACATGAGTTGTGGCTGTGACATTGGTTCTGTTAGGAGTTCTGTCCTTTTATATTTGTTAATAAAACTCTTGAAGTTACAAGTCATTTCCTCCAAATTAACCAGGGGGAGCCACAGTGAAGTTGTTCGGGAGATGTGAGACAAAATAAACGAAGCCCTTTTGCATTTTAACAAGAAGATTTTACTGCATAGACTCATCAAGGCTCAGCTTTTTTTTTTTTAACTTAATCTTTTTTCTCTCATTTCTTTGTCTTTCTGTAAGCAGGGAATTTATGAAGTGCAGCCTGGGATAATATAAAGCTCATTAATTCAGCAGCTCCTCTGCACTCTTTTCCTCAGACTCTTCTGCAGCGAAAAGTCATAACAAGTAAAGCAAAGTGTTTTTTTTTTCGGTTCTGTGAATTTTATTAAAGGGGCCTATTATATACCGCAAGCCCACTTTGTGGTGAAAGTGAATCACAACAGAAACAAAAATGCCAACATCAATTAGAGTTCAACCGATGCAAAAATAAAACAGAATAATAAATATACAGTGTTTCTTGAACATACACAGTGTGAAGTTTTGTGAAACCAGAATCAGAAGTAGTCTGAAACCAAGGTAGGATAAATCAATGGATGAATGGATATTACAAATAGCATTAGTTCTAATAAATCAATACTATTAAAATACCTTTAATTTGAAGACAGGGTGAGTCAGTCTGAGCTGACTTCTAATCAGTTATTTATAGCGTTATTTCTCACACGGTGACTCGCTGTGACAGAGGGAAACGGATATGATTAATAGGTTAAATGATGCATAAAGTTGTTTAAAAAATACATCAGCAGATTTTCATTTGTGCACCTCTGTTGCATTACATTAACTTATCTTTCAAAATGTAAGATGTAAGAGCAGTGACCTGAATTGCATTAGAGCAGTGGTTCTTAAACTGTGGTACTTGTACCACCAGTGGTACGCAGGGAAAATTCACATTTTCACATTTGCATTTTCAATTGAATAAATCTGAAACATACCATGCACAATTAATACAACATTTAAACATAAGCATCTTTATAAACATTTCTAAACATCTCTCCTGTGTGGGGGAAGCTAATAGAGAAGGCCTCTGCTGCTATATTCTGTGTTGGTCATCACGGCGGTACTCAGAGAGATCAAAGTTTTTTCAGGAGGTACAGAGTATAAAAAGTGTGAGAACCACTTCATTAGAGAATATGTGCTATGATTTAACAGCCACAGCCTCCATGGAACTACAGTAGCTGACTCCAAATACTCACCTCATTGTTATACATCAGCCATCCATATGTTCTTACATCACTACCACTGAGTTATGACGTCAGTATTTTAGCATTAATATACGTTGCGACTCTACATATTCCCATATTGAAGCATTTAATTATTGAGGTGGATAAGGACGCTTCTCAAAGTTAAAAGTAAAGTACTCTAAGTTGAAACTGTAGCATTATGCATTATGAAATATTATACTTTCAGTTATTTCCAGCGAAAGTTCAACAGGAAGGTTAAGGAAAATATCACATTTCCTGTTCTGTCTGTGCAACAAATGCAATGTGTTTCCAGAGTCAGTTAGTAAAAAACTAAATTGTGATTTTAATATTGACCAAAAACTGTGAATATATATATATATTTTTCATTTTTTCATGTCAGTTTAAATATAAAGGCAGAAACAAATGATGATTAACATCCAGCTAAAGCAAAACATTCACATTTGTTTTTGTTACTTTCAGACCCATCAAACAAGAACACAAGTCTTCTGAAAGTTTAAAGTTTGCTCTGATGAGTGGTTGGTTTGACCGCCAGGTCTATGGATGTTCTTGGCACATATCCCAGTTTCTGTTTGTAGGAAGAAACATAGTCCTTCAGGTGTTAAAAGGTTGTACATTAGTTCTCAGGAGTGATTGCTTCAGTCTGTGTTCCTTGGCCGTTTTTCTTAGGTTTTGTCACATGGTCCGTTTATCTGACGGTATGCTACAGCAGCCTCCATACTCTTATGTTCAATGTGAGTTCATGTCTGAATACTTTAGTGTATCTGTCCTGTTTTCTAAACGTCATTAAACCACAATTTCTATGGAGGTTGTAAATAGGCCTACGTGCTCTGTGATCAAAATACAACAGTTTGCCAGTCTTCCGTAGGCTCAGCTTCACAGGATTGGCCAGAGGTGGCGCAGTTTGCCATGACAAGGGTTCTAAAGGGTTGCTGAGTTTTTCAGAGAGTAAGAAAAAAAAAAGAAGGAAATAACCTACAGCTCCTTACAACTTGTTGTTTTTCAGACAATGAAAACAAACACTAAAGGACAAAACCTCTGGTTAGACTGTTACCTTATGTTCAAAATTTGATCGGCTTTTTTTTTTTTTTTTATCTGTCCCGGTTTTCTGTTTTAAGTTGCTCTGTCCAGAACTGAACTTCCGTTTTCTGTGTCATGGGCACTACTTTCTTAGCAACCTTGTGTCAATGGGTTTGTCCTCTCTGTGCAGTTCATCAAAGATTTCTACAACCGGACGTGGATCGATAGATATGGAGAACACATAGAAGCTGGCGAAGCTACATTCCTGTGGTCCATTACAGTGTCCATTTTTGCTATCGGAGGGCTACTAGGAACCTGGTCTGCCTCGATACTCCTGGGAGTCCTGGGAAGGTAGGTTGACTCAAGACTCTGTTTTTCTGACCAAATTTAAGTGTGTAAGTTTTCTTCATAATTGTTGTCGATAAAATACAATGTTCTAGAGACAGTGAAAAATGTTACCTCATAAGTAACAATAAAAAGTACACATTTTCAGTGAACCTTGTCCCTCACTGAAAATTGGTATTTTTTTATTTACAGTGATTTGACTAATGTCAAATACTTTACACCCAATAATGTTCTCCACCCATGATATATTTGAAGGTTATTATTTATATTGATTAGAAATATATTTACAAAACTAAGGATAAGATACTAAAACTCCCTGTATAATAAACACAACTCAACAGAACGTGAGCAGAGTTTTTACGCTGAGGTACATTTAAGTTAAAAATACTCCTGTCTCCTGCTTTCCAATAAACCAAGTGTCACTTAAACTGCTGAACTTAGCACTATTTTAATGTTTCGAACGTGACTTGGTAAAGTGTATACCCATCTATCCACCGTGATGTTAAACTTAGAAGTGGGACCAGTGCATCAGTCCTGTCTATTTGTCGTTGATCAATACGACTGTTGTCTCAGTTCTTTCTTTTTTGGAAGCAATATCCCTTCAGGTCTCACGGATTAGTCCTTAGAAACTAATAAGTGAAAATCACCTCTGTGCTGGGCAACACCTTTGCTGATAACGTTACTGATGAAATGAGTCACCAAGGACATTTCAACCAGAGAGACACTCTATAGCACACAGAGAACCACTGACAGCATAAATGTAACTGTCCATTATCTCCTCATCATCTGGCTCTAAACCAATCATTCTCAAATAGCAGGGCAGGCCCCCCTGGGGGGCTTCAAATGGAATATGGCATGCTGGAGTGTGTACCACTGCTGTAATACCTGAATGATAACAAGCCTCCAGTCACTAGATGGCAGCAACTCATACAGTGGTTTGTATGGATTAAAAATATACATGTTATTAGGTTCTTGATAGTATTTCAAGTTCAGGGGGTGTGGGTCGGAGTGGGCGCAAAAACATTCCTCTTCCCAAGGGGGGTCATGACAGAAAATAATTAAGAACCACTGCTTTAATCAATCTGAGTTGCTTTTGAGTTTTGTCCGCTGTCTTTTTCATAGTAACTGCCCGGAACAGCTATCAAGGGACTGGTTTAGAAACAAATGTCACAAACACCAGTATTAATTTGAAACAGCTCAGTCAACAGATCAATTTTGTGTTCCTGGTACTGCAGCACATAATTGGAGGTTGTTGTGAACATGTCACAAAACACCTTATTACCACTGCATTACTTGAAGACAGCCTTTATGTATTTTTTATTACATACTCATATGAATAAACGAAACACTGACCTGTGAACGGTACAGCAAGTTTAATAAAGATTTTACTAGAAAATATTCTAGTTTTTGGAATAAGTGGAAAAAAATGGATGACATGAATGAAAGTGGTGAAGTGCTACTCATATGAATAAAACAATAGGTTTTGAATGTCCATTACAGTGTAGAAAATTAGCTTTTTTGGCAGCAAAACACGCTATATTGGATTGTTATTCTACATTTATATAAAATATATTTATATTTTGAGAGCACCTAAAACTATAAGAGCAGCAGATTTTACTGAGAAGCTGAAATGGTACTTCATGGTGTAGCTGTTTAAAATTTCAGAACATAAATAACTTAGGTTGAATTGCACGTGTGCTTCCGCGCATCTTCTCCTGACTTGCCAACGCAAATTCAGATGACATATTGAGAACTAGGTCTCATCTTTCCTTAGAATATTTAAGTCCATTCCTTGTTGAAGTATTTTCTTACAGACAAATCTTTTCCACAGACAGGCTCTTAAAACATTTCTTAGTTAAACAATAAAAAAAAATTGTCAAGGCAATGGATAAAATTCCCTGTTAGTGATCCAGAATGAGCTTCTTTTAAATGTGGCACATATACTTTATACTGTATAATGACTGTAGTGACAGTCAATATTCTATTTATATAGTTTTGAGGTTGCAAAATAAACACTGCGAAAAAAAGTCAGCATTGCGAATTCTGTCAGGTTTTTGGTCAGACAACGGCGTTCCACCGCTCATAATAGCCGCTCAAATCTACTCTACTGAGACAGACTGTGAAAACAATATCTGCCCAATGCTGACCAATAAGACGCAACCTGAGAGGAATCTATTATCCACTAATGGATTGGGCTGTCAAAACAGTGAGTGTCAACTTTTTATTTTGACTCATTTGAGAAAGAAGCAGAATTCTGCATGGATTCCTGAGGCGAACAAGGTCAGTGGTGATTAGACTGAAGCCCATTACTTATTCCTTCTCAACATTCTCTACAGCACCTCTCTGGAGCAGCTGCTTCAGTGTATTGGGAATGTGTACAATTTAAATTCACAGTGAAGACTTGAATATATATGAGCAAATGAGGTCATACTGAGCAATGACACTGGAGAGCGCTCTGATGACTAGCCTAAACTGCTCTCATTGGTCCCCACAGTAACCATTTTCTTTACAAGCATCATAAGTCGTATTTCTACCACAAAAAGATAACACATACCTCAGTTTACGATGTTCTTGACCTACGGCGTTTTGTAATGACGTCGCCATCACCCATATTTTGTTAAAAACGTTTTCTTCCATCTCTCTGACGTACGCCATTAAAACTCACCAACTAGTTTGCACAGGAACGTAACACGACGGATTCGCAGGTGGTACGCCGTACGTTTAGTTGGGGTAACACGGCGGATTCGCAGGTGGTACGCCGTACGTTGGATTGTGCTACGTTTGCTTTCATTCGTTTTTGTTGTTTTTTGGGATCTTTCTGCGCTTCATTATAGCTCCAAAGTGTAAGCCAGACTCTTCTAATGTTCTAATGTTCTCTACTTCCTCCTGTGTCCCTGCAGTTGAATTACACACCTTAGAATTGCAATGCTGCTCAATCCTGGGGTGTGGAAATGTTCCAGGTCCATCCTGCTGACTTATCATTTCATCTGGACAGCTGTTACATACTGTGGCTGCCAGGTTGAGAAATTCTCTCTTCAAATCATTCTGGCTGAACTACTTCTGTCATGATGTGACCACTTATTGGAATGGACAAACAGTTTAGCCTGTTTTATAGGTCGACTTGGGCCTTAAGTTTGACACGTGTGATTCTTAGATTTAAAATGAAAAGGGAATGGAGAAAGTTTGCTGCCAAGTTTTAAGTAAAAGAGAAAGTTCTGGCAGCACCAGAGCATCAGTAAAGAGGGAACATCAAAGTTAAACTGCCAGTGATCTTAAGCGAACATTCATTTTTGATTTAGCATTACAGTTGGCATCATGTATTTTTTAAGGCTTCAACTTTAGATCGGATGCCTGGCTTGATGCCTTGCCAGCCTCACAGAGTGCAAGGCTAGTCCACGGCTAACAATCTCACTGACAGAGTGAGGGACTGTAGTAACATTGACTGAGGACAAGCAACTCTTGATGCATCCTACATACATACATCAACCCATTGTTATCTGTTCCAGCAATGTACTGTAGATAAAACCTTTTAAAGCTATTTAGGACTGTTGTTTGAAGTTGATATACCACAATTAATTGTTCATCGATCAATATTAATAATAATTAATCCACGGCTACCCTGGGATTGTTTTTCATGTTAGGCTAAAATGTAATTATTTTTAGGGGTTATTTTTGGCCTGTTAATTGGCAGGCTTCAGTTGTGGCAGTGAGTGGATAGAGATCTACAGTCATGAATAACCAATAGATGACCACCAGTCTCATCAATCAATGGTTTGAGGACAGTGCAAGGATACAATAAATTATGCAGTTGGTTCTGCTTTTGGAGGGAGCGTTTTTTGCATTTTCATTTTTTGGAAATAATAATTTTCAACCAGTTTGAGATAGAAGCGCTGCTTCATTGGCAGCCATCAGGAAAACAGATGTATTCCTCTGTTCAGGGCCCAGATAACAGATAAACAGGCAGAAGTCTGTTTCTCATTTTTCTAGGTGGAAATGGAACGCTCTAAACTCACAAGTCTTCTAAACTGAAATCCCTGGGGCACATAATGTAACGGCTGCTGATCTTCTGCCACATCGGCAACATGTTCCAACGTATTGTTTCCACTTTAACTTTGTCAACTTTGGTGGCTTATGTTCTCTGTTCAGATTTATGCAGTTTTTTAAATTTGCCTTACACAGGTCAGTGATACAACATTAATGTTAAATGCAAAAAAACATGCTAGTTGTAGCAAATGATGATATTGGAACTGCACAATTGACGTGACTTTAGTAGAAGTATGTGTGCGGACAACTGTGTGGTCACACGGTGCAGTGTGCCAGTGAAGATCACATTTGTGTTGATACACCAGGTGATGCTGGTCCCAGCTCATCACTAAAGTGGCTTTTAATTGCATTTTGTCTGAGAAGGACACCACTGTGTGGCCTGCAGAGATTGGTGCAGGCCACACACTGTGTCCATCCCATTATAGGACCACATATACAGACAACCAGCTGTTTATGTAGAGCAGTGGTGTCAAACTCACAGCCAGGGGGCCACTTCCTGCCTGTGAACCTCCTGCAAATAAAACTGGTACTCTCAGCAGGTTAATCATCTCTCTCTATTTCTCTCACTCTCTCTCTCTCTCTCTCTCTTATTTTATAGTCATAGTTTGCCCCTTTCTTGAGCAAACTAGGAATAGAAGTTACGCAGATTGGTTACATGGGACGTCTGCATGGCGAATGAATATAAAGAATGTTTTCCATGAAATTATATATATTATATTTTAAATATAGTATATATATAGTATATATATATATATTTATTATTATTATTATTATATATTATAGTTATTTTACTGTTTGTATTTTTTTATATATTTTCTTTGCATTGTGAGCTAAGATTTGTCCTCCTTTTTTGAACACAGGAAGGGAACTCTGCTGGTGAATAATGTCTTTGCTGTGATCGCTGCACTCCTGCTGTCTTTGGGGGAAATAGCAAAGTCTTTTGAAATGCTCATCATAGGTCGTCTCATCATTGGCCTAGACTCAGGTAAGATGTGTGCATTCTGAATATTAAATGCCTTAATGGCATAGCACCATGATATATAATGCATCCTGGAGGTGTTTAATTGAAATTTGATTATCTTTCAGCAGTGATTTGAGATGATATTACAATGAATGAACATCAAATAGATACCCTGGGATTTGAGCTTCAGACTGAGGAGAGCAGTGTTGTTTGCATTGAAATGGAATGTCAATAGTGTTATCAAAGTTGAATGAAAAAAGTAGATGTCTAAAAACTCAACTTTTATGAAGGTTGTGGGTTTAATTACACAAAACAGGGTGACTTTCTAAAATCCTAACAGCCTACACTGATTTTCTCATTGTGAATTCATTGTGAATTATTTTACCTGTGTCTTAAGGTGTATGTATTTTTCAACGTTTATCCGTTGTGTCTTGCAGGTATTGCTCTCACCGCCCTACCCATGTATCTCGGAGAAATTTCTCCAAGACATATTAGAGGTTCCATTGGCCAGTTCAACGCCATCCTGATCTGCTTGGGTGTCTTCAGTGGACAGGTCTTGGGGTTACCACAGGTGCTGGGGCAGGTCAGTTTTTTTTTGTTTTTTTTTTAATGGCTTTACACCGTGGACTTTTTACTTTTTAAAATACCCCACTTACCAAAATTCTGTTTTAGCCTTTCAAAGACTACACCTAGTTGTCTTTGGTTGAGGTTGTGGTAAAATGTTGCTTGACAGAAATGTAATCTTGAATATATTTATATCATATGTCAACCTAGCCTGAGGGTTAAAACAGCGATCTCTCTCAGAGACTACAGAGGGAAAGAAAAGAACTACCTGAGGTCTCTTCACAGGAGACATGTGGAGACATTTTTAAACAGATCATGTCTGGTTATTTAAAGAAAGCAATTCAACAAGAGATTGGAGTTAAAAAACCAGCTGCACGCCTATTACAGCTCAGGAGCATTATAGAGTTATTAAAGGGATAGTTTGGATTTATTAAAGTGTGATGTTTGAGACATTGTAAATACCATGAGAATGAAGTCCTCTTAAAGACATTAATGTCATCACCTTCCTCACTTTCTCCCACCACGTTATGAGGACATTAATGGAACAAATGTCTGCATATAGCTAGGTATAATAGCTATACCTTTGCTCCAATGTCTTTGGAAAAAAAATCACTAGCTCATAAAATGGTCAAGAAGTTGGTGGTTTTCTGCTGCCTCAATTAGCAGTGTGTGAGTGTTTTTTTTTTTCACACAACTGCGTTCTTGTTGTCAGCCAGGTTTTCAGTTTCAAAACAAGAGTCCAGGTATTGAGCTGTGAGGTCATCTCTGTAGGAGTGTGTCAGAAACACATATAGACGTTCCCATAAATCAGTGTTAAATGTGCTTAAACATCCATTGCCATTCTTGAGGTTGTTTACATCGCCCGTGGATAATTTACAGTTTCCTGCATCGTCTGTGTTCTCACTAGAGCGCTGAGAAAAAAGAAATTGCAAAGAGGAAACTATAACATACCAGTACTGCAGTACAGCAAGTGAATAAACTAAAGAACTGCAAATATAAAATGTCAGTGGAATTTGTAAAGGAGATATCTTTGGATTGCAGATATTATGAATAAAAGAGAATGAGGGATAAAAGTCTATATTTAATTTAATATGGCAGGCACTCTTCAATGATTAACATGAAATACACCAAAAAGATTTGAGTGTTCTTTAATATATTATACTCCTGCAAAGATATTACAAATGATACAAAGTCCACAGTAGAAAGTCCACATTCCTACAATCCTTAGAAATGTGAATCACAGAAAAGACTATTTTGAGACAAAGCAATTCATGAACAAGTCGTTACAGTATGGCATTTGTTGCAGTGATACCATTCAGCGCAGACATCGTTTCAGCTTCAGTTACTCTGATCTTCTCTTTTCTTGTCCTGTTTGTTTTGGGCCTTCACGTAAAAAAAAGAAAACATACTACAGGGAGTCTTTGAGTTACGTTGGGGTGCAGTTCCTTTCTTTTTCTTATGCATTTTTTATGCATCACAAAATATGTAAGGAAACTGAACCTGTGAAACTATTGCTTTTACATGTTGATCACAGCGTACAGACCACACGGAGAGTGTGCCGTTAAATACTTTATTGTCCTTTACAATTTGGTCTGACAAAACTGTGGATTTTCAAAAAAAAGTTTCACAAAACATGAGTACGACAAGAATAAACAGAGCCGTCTTATTTGCATATTTTTTTGGTCCACTTTCCTAAAGTCAGATTGTTTCACACCACGGTGTCTGATCAGTGCCATAACTGTGATCTATTGTTAAGTGTGACCTTGGGTGAATGAGGCTGTTGTCTTAATGTACGTGGTTTATCACAATGTGGTGTTGGAGTTACTTTAACCAATAAACAGCAGCACTTGTCAGCAGGCACTCGACGTTTCAGCATAAGTTATGATTCTAATTACTGTCACAACAACGGTGACAAACTAGCTGTAAAAAAAGACACAACAATAAAAACGGCCTTAGTGCTGAAACTGAACCTCAATAAATTGTGAAGGTTGGAGGGACTTTAATGGGTGTGAGATTTTTATCCTTCAGAGCTCCATGACTAAATAGAAGAAGGATTATTGATGCCTCAGTGATGCGATGTATTTAATGACCCGTCCATAAATTATCGCATTTTCCTTCTCTCTCTATCTTCTTTGCAAAAATTGACACGCCAAAGTGCGAGGACATCCCTGTAACAGCATTTAAATAGTAATAATGTGGTGTTGTAGTAGTGTGTTTGTGGTTCACAGTGTGGTTGCCATAAAAAAAGGAACAAATAATAGTATGGAACTTATTTGTAATGTGTCATCCAGTGTGGTGTTGTTTTGCTGAATTTTACTATGCCAAAGAAAAGCATTTAAAAAGACTACAGATAGATACAGTAGGTCTGTCCTTCTGTTAGAGCAGTGATTCCCAAAGTGTGTGTGTGTGTGGGGGGGCACCCCTCTATTGGGCATAGCAAAGCAATTTAAAAAAAATATTGGTAAAGTAGGGAATACATTTAAAATGATCCCTGCTGCACCTGTTTTATTAAGTTATAATAAGTGTTTCACACACAGCGAGAGAGTTAAGACTGATTAAACGCTTGAGGGAGACGAGACAAAATGCTTTACAGGTGGTAAAGACAGAATTCCTTCTGTCTCTGTGTTACAGTTTGAGCAAATGACACACATTAAACAGATAATATGTTTGAAAGATTAAATTAAATTAAAATAAATTTTAAGAAAAAAATGAAACTAAAATAAATTTACAGACATATTATGAAAAATTGATGTTTATTTGCATGTGGGGAGTTCACACTGAGTGATGGAAGTGCAAACTATATAAACACATAAAAAAGAGAATAGAAACCAAAGGATTATGGAAAGACTAAAAAGTACTTTGTTATGACCCAAAATCAGTTCAGGGTGCCGGGTGATAACCGTTCCTTAAGGATTTATTTTTTTAATATATAAATATTCCAAAAATCGGTATTAACATAGTGGCTTGAACACAGCAGTGCTGTATTAAATATACGGTAACTGCTGCAAATGAGGGGAATCTTGCTGAATGTAAATTGATCCTCAGACTTTCTTCCACTTGCTGCAGGGGAAATCTTAAAGCATGAAGGATGCAGGATTATGGGATGGTGCTGCTGTACACAGAAATGCATTGTTATTACCAGATGGCTCAGAGCGACTGGCTGATGAGTCATAAAGATGTTAATGAGTAAACAGTCGTAGGCCTACATCCGAGACAAACACTTACTAAAACCTTTGCAAAGTGGCAAAAATAGATCATTAAATAAAATGAAACATTATTGACATCTGATAAGACCATCTTCATATCTTGAATGAAAGAGTTTTAAGTCTTTGTTTTTTGTTATTAGACACATTAGAGTCTAAGTGTCAAACTCAAGGCCCGGGGGCCCCTTTTTTAACCCCCTACTGGGATGACTCAGAATTTTCAAAGAGCTGAAAGGGAAAAAAGGATATAAAGTGATGATCACATTTGTGCAGGTAGTGTGTGTTTACTCTGATAATGTGAGTGACTACATGAAATGCAGAATATTCACTCTTTCTTCCCTGCCTTTCTCAGTGTTTTCTTCTAGATGTGGTTTTGTCTTCAAAGTTTTTTTTCAGACTACTATTTTCAGGGTCAAGACTTTGATCAGTTCAGCAAGACAAGGTTTAAGAGCTAACCTTGGCAGTTTCAAAGGCATGCTAGTCTTTTGAAGAGGGCAGAACACCCATGTGTAAATTCAGGATGTAGCAAAGAGGATGTCGGATGGTTGGAAGACATTCATGTGCAGGAAGGACAGTTTTCCTTAGGTCCAGCTTTAGAAAAACTTTAGTCAGTTCCCCTGATTCTGAGGAACAGGAGGAGGAAAAGTTGTCCTTGTGTTTGGCAGAAGTTTTAAAAGACTTGTTATTTCTCAGCAGCTCTGGAAACGTCTCGGTGTCGAGGGTATTTCAGAAGAATGTTGTGGGATTAGTGTGTAACCTTTAGTTCTATGTATGAGTGTTCTATAAAGTTCTGTATTTGTGCTCGTGCCAGTTTAGAAAACAGCCTGGCAGAGTGACAATGTTCTGGGGTCCAGTCCAGTCGAGGGCAGTTCAGAGAATGTTTTTTTGGTGGGTAGGGAGAATTTCATAGAGCATTTGTCCTCAGCAGGGGGCAGCAGTGAGGACAACTGTTTGCCCAGCAAAGGAATTTCTAGAGGATACCCTGGTGTACTGCAGGAGCACACTTCTGCTCCCAGCAGAGGATATTTTAGAGAGCACCTTTGTGTCCAGCAGGTGCCAGTGTGAGGACATCCTTGTGTCCTGCCTGGAGCAGTTTAAAAGACAGAATTAGTGCATCTCCAGCACTGAGCGATATAGAGGTCATCCTGGTCTCGAGCAGGGGACAGTATTGGGGACATGTTTATGTCCAACTGAGGTCTACATAGAGAACATCCTTTATCCTGACGGGTGTTGCAGCGCAAATTCCTGAATGTAGTAAGTTACCGTAACAGATGTGTAAGTGACAAGTATTATTTAGCTGTACCTTATGAGAGTAATCAATACTCAATTGATACTCCCATTCCTAGTACTAGTCCTTCAGTGCAGTTAGAGTGACAAAAAGGCAGTCCTTATCATCTCTCATTCTGTGGAAAAGATCATGCATAGTAAATGAAGGTCTTCCTGTCATGGGATTTGTTCTTCACGTATTGTAGTCGTGGTGAAATACGAAGTGTAAAATATTCGACTTTTCTGTAATCTATATGTGTGTATGTATGGTGCCCATTGTTCCCTGTGTTATTTTTCTACCACTGTCGCTTTGCCCTGACATTTACACATGGCCATAGTGAAAATGGAACTGTGCTGAACTGCGTCTCATTTTTAATTTATGAGTTTCGGTGTGTACCATCCATCACACCAATCTGTAGATGGTTTATAAATATGGTGTTGTATGTGTTCCCATCATCTCTGTGACAAGCCTCCACTCTTTGTCCTTCAACATTTGATAAGAGTGTCACAGGCCTGTGTGACATATGTGAAGATAATACCGTCACATATGTCACTGCTGGGCTTTGTTTATACGAAATGTCACTGGAAGCTTGTGTGTGACACTGGCCACACTTGCTGTGTGTCGCTCAGTGGTGATGAGCTTTGACAAATTATAATCACGTCAACCTTCATGCTTAGCTGCTGACCTTGTCCTGGGAGGGAAGCATGTTTTATCCTGCATTTACAGAAGGAGCAGGATTTTAGCCAGTCTGCCTGAAAACTCCCAGGAGCCACTTTACTCATTGGTATGCCTCAGGCCACTTCACCCCAGCAAGGCTGCATTCAATGGCCTTTATGGTGTTTAACCGCTTTATTCTCTAGCACATCCAATTATGACTTCAGAGGTTTTCTTTTAAGAAACAGCCAAAGAGAGAACCGTGTCCTTGAAGTTTATTTCACTTTAGACTTTTGTCCCAGTGGATATCAGACGTCTGAGTAAAATGTCTTACTTAAGCTTTCACTGTATCACAAACATGAACTGATCTGAAATCCGATGTTTTCAACATACCATATTTTGCGGACTATAAGTCACACTTTTTTTTATCCTTTGGCTGGGTTTGCGACTTATGCTCAGGTGCAAATTATATATTAAAATATATATAATTTCACGTTATTTTAACACTGACAGCCATTAGAGTGCACTCTAGGCTTGCGTACCAGTATCTGCTACTCATGTAACACTAAAACGTTTGTTATTTTTGCACTGACAGTCGCTAGAGGGCACATGTGCGACTTATACTCCAGAGCAACTTATATATATATTTTTTTCTGCTTCATTACGCATTTTTTGGCTGGTGCGACATATAATCCGGAAAATATGGTACTAAAAAAAAAAAAAAAACACAGACACTTAGTCAAGGCGGCTTCTGTGCATTGTTATTGTTTGAATCCATTTATATGTAAAAACCCACATTTGCAGCTCTTTCTGTAATAAACAGGTTTGTGTTGTGACTTCAACACCTCACCACTCCATGTTTCTGTCAGATTCTCCTCATTAATTTCCACAACACGTCACCACACGGTGCTACACACAGACGGTGGCTGTGTTTACATTCACCAGTTGAATGCTTTACATTGGATTGTGCCATTTGCTTTCTTCCGTTTGTTTGTTTTTATGCCTTAGATGTTACCACTGTGTTAGCATAGGTGAGTGACATAGGTGCTTATTTACACTATGTGAGTTCTGACTCACACGAAAATAGAGTTACTTCACACAGTAGTAACGTTTCCGACTTAAGCATCAGTTGTTAGGGTACTTCCCTAAATTGCCCACCTTTGTAATAGTAGTCTTGGAACTATTTTCTGGTTCTAGACAGGGCTCTGTTGTCAGTGACATTTTTAACTATTAATCCTTTTCAACCATCCAGATGACACAGGACTGCAGTATTTTCCTTAAATGAATATGTACACCATGACATTTCCTCCCTGGTGAATGTGATTTCCTCTCTCTGTTTTCCCATTTTGTCAAAATTGAAATTTAATCATTGTTTTTACATTCGTTTAAATACAGTTTAAAAAAAAATGAAGTGCAGCTACATTACCCTAAGTAAGGAGGTTAATGCTGTGTGATGCCTACATTTCTTTCCTTTAAAATATTAAGAAGGCTCCTGTAATTAAAATGTACTCTCCTCACATCTGCCCGCCCCAGCTGTCGGACTGCTCTTCAGACAGAGTGCAGGTCCGTGGGTTAAAGGAGGAGGTGGTACTCATTACAAACAGCTAGAGGCGGAGGGATTATGGTCTTTACTCCTGATCCTTGGTGATTCTACGCCAAGAGTCAGATGATGTGAGATTTTTATTTATTTATTTATTTTCAGGAGAAAATCAGAGGGAATTGCTTTGGGATTTTGTGCATGAATTCACACACACTACCCTCCAGTTATGGTTTCATTTCAAAGTTGATGGTAAAACTGAAGAAATAATTAAAAAGAAATCTTTTGTCCAAATCTGCTGCCGTTTGTGCAGGAACCAATGCTTTCTACGTACCTGATTCTGTGAACAGTGGTGTTTGATAGCCAGTATGTATTGACACAGCAGTGATTCACTATTTGTAGAAACAGACATTCTCGTTATGTTATAGTTAATAATAGTTGTTAATTATTAGTGCCTCAACTTCAGTAGCACTCTAACAATGCACACTTAGCAGAAGAGTACTCTTCAAATGTAAAATAAAATGAAATAAATAAATAAACAAACAGTGAAGGTTGTTGCAATACAATTTTCTTTTTATTTGAAGATAAAACGTCATTGTAAACACTAGAAAACAAATAAAGAAATGAAGCAGGATTAATCAACACACAATAAATGGAAATGGAGACTGTGAAGGACAAAGGTCTTTTTTTCTTTTCTTTCTTTTTTGGATTTTTTAACATTTTTGAACTTGAATAAACACAAGATGTGATTTAATAATCAAAATGGTAAGAAATAATGATTTCCTTTTATATTGAAGCTGCAATAAAAAGGACCAAACTGGGTAGACAACTTCACTGTTGGTTTTGTTGTCTGACCTTAGATAATGAATAATCATGACTAGCATGAACTTTCTTTTGTAATCGTCTGTGCAGATTATTGGACTATTGTATTGCTGTGTTTAAGTCAAGAATGAAGAGTTACCACTGTACGACGTAGGTATAGATTCAATTGAATGGTTTTAGTTGTTTCATATTTATCTGCAAAACAACTGAGAAGAGATGTTCTCCATGAATGTTTCTCTGCAGGACAAATGCCCTGTGAACACAGTTAGGATGAAGGAACAAAGCCAAGTCAGTCACTGTGAAAGCTGTAATGATTTTTTGAGTAGATCTCATATACCTTGATGTCTTTTTGGGGGAATGAGATCTGTGCCTCTAAAGTCACAGAAACATCTGGATCATTGAACAAAAATGTGGCGGTGAGAAAGAAAACAGAACTTAATCCAAAGATGAAATATCATCAAAAAATAAAAAAACTTTTCAAATAACTAAAATTCTAAAATACTATTTCATGCAAAAGTGTAACTGACAATGAAAAATATATACAAATGAATGCATCACAGTATCACTGTGAGTCTGTGAGTGAGTTCCACATTCTGGAAACTGCCAATGAGCCGGCAGCGTATTTTCCCAATTATCGACAAACATTGTTATTTTGTTTTAAACCTGTGATTGTTGCTGGCAGACTCTGCCTCAGCTTGTTCACAGTTTTACACGACAACTGCAAAATTCTTTCATGATGTTTTTTTTTTTTACCTGCAGGAGTCGAGGTGGAACTTTCTGTTCTCCTTTCTGGCACTTCCAGCGTTGCTGCAGCTGTGTGTGCTTCCTTGCCTGCCTGAAAGTCCTCGTTACCTGCTGATAGAGAGAAGGGATGAGGCTGGAGCAGAGAGAGGTAGAGTGCAGCACACAACAGGAGTAAACAGTCAGCACATCATCACAGTCACGTAATGATTGCCTTCTAAATGTCTTCACTATATTCCCTGAAAAAGCTCGTACTTGTATTTAAGTAGCCACTCTAGCTTTAGCCACTCTAGCTTTAGCCACTTTAGCTTTAGCCACTTTTGGTAGACATTGAACCTTCTTTAACCATTCCTGACATTATTTATATAGTAATAGAAAGTTTTACTTAACTAAAATAGGATAATATTTCATATATATATACTTTCCATAATCTGGATTTTGAAATTCCTGCTCGGCCTTTAATGATTTGAAACATCACAGCGGTCACTGTCAGCACGTCTCAACTCCTTGTCTTTGTTTTTGCGAATTCTTTTCATTTTGTTCTAAATCTGTTTACAATCCTTTGAGATGAGATATGTACCAAACACGTCAGGTGTTTGGAGATTCACCATATGGTGTGTTAATGAGATCTGTGCTGAAGTGTATGGCTGTAAAGGAGCTTTCCCTGTGTTTGTTTCCTTCCAGTATTTCTCTGAGCACAGTTGATATAAACACATGCTTTCTACACTACTGAGAATGGTTGTTATCAACTGTTGTGTTCACTATTTGAAATTTTAAGGATAACCAAAGGCTGTCATTTCAAAATGGTCATTTACAGTTATTCTTATAAGTCAATCTTTTGATAATGTTGTGAAACTTTGCTAATGCTTTAAACCAAAGCACATCATTAATAATAACTTTCTCTTTGAGTGTAAAAACATGACCACGCTGCACTTGTAATTTATTTATGTAGCTTTTAAAAGTCCATCACTGATATAGACCTTATGTTAAAGAATTTAAATATAGTAATATTGCAATCTCTTATTATATTTAAATGTTAACTGCCACACTGTATCATATATCTTATTGGTGCCTTCAACTGTACATGGCTAGGGAAATCAGTGATGGATCAAGATTGTTGGATCACATCATAGATTGATGGATCACATTCTTGGACTATATAGAAGAAGTTACAGGGCAAATGCACTGTAAAATATACGGAATTAAAGATGCCTTAGTAGGCAGGTCAATGAGAGAGAATGTATTCAGATTGATGTGTTACTTCATGCTGAAGGTTATGAGAAGGCCGAAGAACAAAGAGTGCGGCTGTTGTAACCATAGCTACAGCAGCAATGGAGGGCTAAATGACTGATGACACTAATGAAACTGCATAAATTAAAAAGCTGTCATTTTTACACAGAAACATAAAAGTGATAAATCTAAAATTTAATAGACATTAATACACTCCGAAGTAGTAGCTTGAAAGGTTTAAGGATTCTTTAAAAAATGCACAGAATTTTATCATTACATTTCTAAAGATTTCTCATGACCCTACAATGGAGTGTTTTTTTTTATTACTCATTTTAATAAGTATATTTGCTATAAAAAAACAAACCACCAACTTAATGTTTGACAGCAAGATATGACAGCAGCATCTGTTAACCTGTCTCATTTATTTGACATTAATAACCCACTGACATCACATGGTAAAAATGTAATGAGATACTCTGGGAATCTCTTTACAGTCAAACCACAGGTGTTGCAGAATAAAGCAGTATTTTCATTTATTTTAGCCCTTTACGCACCTGCATGACTTGATGAGAATCTATAGCTCTGTGCAAAAGAGTTTTTATTTCGATTCAAATGTATTCATGTTTTAGAAACTTCTGTGTTGATCATTTTTAGATTCTAATCAGATGATGATCATTGATGAGGGTTGTGTGGGTTGTCATGGCAACAGCTGTTTCCTATCACCGTTTTTCATACGTTTCTACATAATCAGCCGCTCCCCTGTTTTGGAAAAGAGAGTCTACATTGTGCCTAAATAGATACTGTGATGCATAGGCGGTAACCAGGGGCACTTGATAGTCCTCGGAGTCAAGAACATTAGGACCATACTGATGGGTCACTAAATGGAATAAAAGCCTTGTTAGCTTGTAAGTAGTGCACATAGTCAGCAGTATGCTAGATGCACTATATATATATATACTTTGCAGGTTGTTATAATTGATGAGGCAGAGTTTTCTGTACAGAATTAGAGAAGAAGAAGACAGAAGAAGAAGTCGTTTATTACTCCCCTCAGGCAAATTTACTTCCCTTTTTAGAAGAACTTTAGCGCAGAACACGAAAGTACTGAAGTTTACTTGTTAATGCATTCCTTCATAAAACGTGTAGCCCTGACTTCAAAAGAAGTAAAATCACCACTGTGCTTTTCATTTATTCCTTAAACTATCATCCTAAACTCCATCCTTTGCCATGTGTCACTGTTTATTTTTAGAAGATAGCTCAGGTTTAAACTCACTCTGCAGGTGAGAAGAAAGCAGGGTTTATACTGAGAGAAAAATAACGGCAAACTATAAAAACAGGTCTTACCAGCAAGTCAGGTCCATAAATTTACCCAATGTCAATTTAATGACATCTGTTTAGTTCCGTCTGTTTACGTGAACCCATCAGGCAACTGGTTGCACCACAGACCAGTTTATTCAAGACAATCCAAAGCCAGGGGTGTGTGTGTGTGAAGTGAGTTTACAAGCATAACAAATGCAAAAGTACATAATTAATTAATTAAAATTAAAGTACAAGGGGTGGGGAGGTAACTTTGTTTTCTTATAATCCTTTCTTTGAGTTAGTGTAATAAAATGTGTCAGTTAATTAAATCAGTGCCAGGTAAACAAAGTTACACAAGAGAGTGGGCGTGTAAATAATTGGTCAGATTCAAAAAGGGAGTCCTAAAGGTTAGCAAATTAATCACAGAGCAGAAGGTATTTATAGGGTGTAAGGTTTTATTACACTTTCCATGACCTTTGTGGTAACAGGTAATGCTTAGTGGCACGTCATTTCTTCAACATAATGACCTGCTGCCATTCGCTTTCCTTGGTCTGACACTCGTAATTTCACCACATCTTTATCTTCAAAGAGAGAATATTGCCACTCTAAAAACCCTGATAGAAAACTACACTTAGTTATCTAAGATAAGACACCGTTTGATTGCAAATATAAGATGACTGTAAAGACTAATATACTAATAAAATTATATGTATACTTGTATTATTATTGTTCTAAAGACACATTAACTAACTTAATAGTACTTAACTACCTGTTAGTACAGTGATTCACATTTATGACTACCTGTTAGTACAGTGATTCACATTCGCTTGAAATGATCAAATTATTCACTTTATTGGTCTAATTAAATTGTTTTTGTTTACTGCAAATAACCATTGGACAACCATTGTCTCCATTGGACAACATGAGAGTGACATGCAGAAAATGTAAATGCTCCTCCCACAGGTGGCAGCAGATGGCTATAAAACTCGCAAAGAGCTTTATATATGATTTTCTTCAATTCCTGGAAGTATATCAGGGTTGTGTTCAGCACAAGTTACGGTTCAATACTAGGTAATTAAGTTAGTAATTTTCAGTAAACTGAAACTAGACTCATTCATTACATTTATTATTGTTTATATTTTTGTTTGGTAATGTGCCTTTTTTAAATGCAATATACAGGGGTCTCAAAGGAGTTGAGAAACATTAGTATGTTATATACATTAGTATCTTTAGTTACAATGCTCATTCTGTTTAAATCATTTATTTGACAGACAACTGAATTCATATTTTGCTGCTACTCCTGCTCGAGGAGTTTTAGACAAAGTGGACGTCCATTTTATTGATTCCTCTGACATTAGTTCTAAGTTTCAAACTTGTGTGTGTGTTTGGTGGTTGTGTTTCAGCCTTTCAGAGGTTTCTGGGGAAAAAGGATGTGTCCCAGGAGCTTGAAGAGGTCCGACAGGAGGCTCAGGCCCAGGACAGCCAAAACACTGTCACTGTGTTAGAGCTGCTGAGGACTCGCGCCGTGCGCTGGCAGCTCATCACTACCATTGTCACCATGGCCTGCTATCAGCTCTGCGGGCTTAACGCTGTAAGTTTAGTTTCATTGAGAAGTACACATACAGTTTATATAAATATATACCTTTATGTATGTATAAATATATTTTGCATATGTCTTCTCCCCTCACTCTTTGTTTTAAATTCGAATTCTTGCAAGTCAGGGTAAAGTCAGATCCCACTAACACACAGCACAAAACAAAACCTCACCAAAAGTTTCAGTTTGAGGCTGAATTATATTTTGTGATGCTTCAAAAGACAGCTTACTTTTCGGTGTCTTTTCTTATCATGACCAGTTTTGGTAAAAATACTGTAGATTTCTTTCAGCAATTTGAGGACATACACATTTCTTTTTGTAGGTTATAGAGTGCAGATGCTGTGTGTGAGGCTGTACTGAGGAAAAGCAGTGACTCCCGTTCATGGTTCTGTCATCACTCTCGCTCACTTCCATTAAAATGGCATCCACTAACCCTCTGAGTGAACACTGGAATGAAAACAATGATTATTTTAGACAATCCACTGACTTTGAATTTAAAAAGCCTGAAAAAGGCTTAATCTGTTACACTGAACCAAGTCACTCACACTGATTGTTTGCTCCTGATCTGTTGTATTATTATTTCAGCTCATTGTTCCATCAGTACCAAATCAATTCCACAAATAAGAGAAAAGCACAGCTCTTCATTTACATTTTTATTCCTAGTCAAGGGGGGTGTAATCATCATGAATCTGTCGTCTCCTCTTCCCCACCTTGTCCCCATCGGTTCACTGAGATGAGTCCAGTCAATCTTACAGTCCGAGAAAAGAGATGCACAGAGCAGCTTAAAGGGCTTCACTGATAAAAACCTGACAACTAAAAAATGTTCCTGGAAACTGTGTCACGGCTCTGTGCTTCAGGTAGTCAGAGGGAGAAAAAAAAAAACCAGTCTGACAATTGTGGATATAATTTATATTTCACAGCCTGAGCACAGACGACAATGACACATCAAAGAAGTTAGAAGTTAGTGCCTTTCCTTTCTCCATAAACAACATATCTCAGAGATTGACAGTGCATGAAACATTTTTCCATTTCTGAAATAATGACTCATTCTGCTTTTTCAGGCAGAGGCATAGATCATGTCAATGCAAAAAGTTTTGGATTTATCTTCCAGCCTCAACAGGAAGTTGGATGTTTATATCTAAGAAACGGGACTTTGATTTGTATTAGAGAGAATCTGTCATCCATCATGACCTGTACATCTGCAGGACACAGAGGTGTGAAGCAGGAGTCCTAAATTATTATTATTATTATTAATAATAATAATAATAATAATAATAATAATAATAATAATAACAAGAAGAAAAAGAAGAAGAATTTGAACTTTTTTGAGAAACACTTGGGATATTCTTGTGTTAACAGCAGAACTGCCCCCTGGAGGCAGAGTATGTGGTTCCTCTGGGAAACATAGACTGTTTTAGAGCAGGGATAAGAGACTGGACTGGATATATGGTGCACGCCATTATACCAAGGCTTAAAAATATGTAAAAAATCTATATTTGAATAACCTGCACACACAAATTCACACCATTAACGCATTAAGTTCATATTTTGGGTTTTACTGTTTCTCTTCCTAATTTTATTTTATTTTACCAATAGAGCCAGTCAAATTCAATGTATGTGTAAATGTCACTCAGGAATAAAAACAGACTCTGACTGGCTTCTGAAAAATACAGCCTTTTCACCACTGTTTCATTATTTTCTCTGTTTTTTTTTTTAATCAAGAACAGTTAAACTTTTATTCTTTTTTAATTTTCTCACAGATCTGGTATTACACCAGCGGGATCTTAAGGGCAGCCGGCTTTGCTGAAGACATCCTGCCGTACTTCACACTGAGCACAGGCGCTGTAGAAACATTGGCTGCCATTGTCTCGGTACGTCAGCGTTATAAAATAATGATCTGACATCTTACCTTCACCAAGAAAGTGATGTTTTTGAACTGCCCTCCCCCACAACTCAGTCCACAGAGAAAATCAATGCCTCTACATCACAGCACATATTGCCTGTTGCCCACTGCTGCCTCCGTCACTATGGTCAGCTGCAGTGGTTTGTAACTTCAGTGTTTTTAATATCTGTTGTTAAGATCAACCTCAGGGACTAATTAGTGTTTTTCTGAAGCAGAAGGCCAGCAGAACATGTAGACGTTTTCCTGTGAAGTCTGGTGGGCAGTTACTGCAGGGGAGAGAGCAGTGTGAAGAATATACAGTACTTAAAATATATAGCTATACAGTAACTGAGGGAAAACTGTGTAAATATTTTACACATGATTTGTCACTGATTATATTGGCTGTGTCTTCTAACCTTCATCACGTCACCTGGCAGGTATATTTCACAGCTGAAACGGTGGTTGTTTGTACAAAGGCCTTTGTTGGTCACTCTCTTGTTCTGGCCCTTACCCTTCTGTTGTGTCGTCCTTATGGCAGAAAAGCTCGTGTTGAAGGTCTCTGTTGTCTTTGTCTTTATTTTTTAAAATGGTTTTTACTAAGCTGTGGGAACTCCTGATGACCCTGGTTTTTTAAATGTCCTGCAGTGATGGGAAAGCCTCCTCACGGGGCAGTTTTTATCACCCGCTGAAGAGCCTTCCTGTTTGGAACAGAGCAGCTCCCGAACCACACAATGAGAGCGTTAGTAATAACACTTAAAACCAGCTGTGCATCTGTAGAAGTGGTGGAGGATTTTGGTTGACGGACCAAGTGAGATCCTCGCTGACATAGGTCCTGTGGAATTTAAACATTTTCACCTTTCCCACCTCTGTCATGACTATTAGGTCACGCTGTGGTTTCCTCCTCCTGGGTTCAATAATATTGAGATTATTGTCCGTACACCAAATCTACCAATCCTACCACCTCCCTTCTGTATGCCATTTCCTCTCCTCCTGTAATTAGTCCGATGACTTTGGTGGTTGTCTCAGACACCTCACAGCCATAGTCCACCAGTGCACACAGCCCTGGAGGGTCGCTGTGCTGACAGTTCTGGTGCCTGAAGTATCTGTTATATTTCCAAAAATTAGGAAGCATTAAGAAAAAAACCCCATCCAAGTTAAACATTACATTTCTTATACACTGAATATATGTCTTCAGATGCAATAACTCCGTTAAATGTGCGCTCCTTTCAGTAAAACGTGCACATCCCTGCAGCTGATACAAAAGTTGCTTCAAAAATAGCCCAAAAGGTTGTGGTATGCACAAATAAGTTTGTGTAGCAATTTGCAGTATGAATTAGGTCACTACAATTTATCATCTTTAAAAAAGTTTGTGCTCATGTAAAAAAGTTTAGGCGACACACACTTTAGGGAATTCTCATCAAAGGCCCCAAAAAAGGAGTAAAAATCTGGTGCCTTGCAAAACGGAGAAGAAAGATGTTTCCCTCAGGCACGAACTCAGTGTCTTTGACCAAAGTTTGTTAGTGAGGAGGAAACTCCAAAATGAAAGACAAAAAGTTCAGTCAGAAATGCATAAAGCAGGCGGAGGTATCAGCAGAAACCT